TAACACTCCACTGTCAATAATAGACAGATCAACCAGACAGAAAATTAACAAGGATATCCAGGGCTTGAACTCAGACCTGAAAGAAGCAAACCTGATAGACGTTTACAGAACTCTCCACCCCAAATCCACAGAATATACATTCTTCTCAGCACTACATCACACCTACTCGAAAATTGACCACATAATTGGAAGTAAAGCACTCCTCAGCAAATGCAAAACAACTGAAATCATAACAAACAGTCTCTAAGACATTAGTGCAATCAAGTTAGAACTCAGAATTCAGAAACTAACTCAGAACTGCACAGCCTCATGGAAACTGAACAACTGGCTCTTGAATGTTGATTGGATAAACAATGAAATGAAGGCAGAAATAAAGAAGTTATTCGAAACAAATGAGAATGAAGACACAATATACCAGAATCTCTGGGACATATTTAAAGCAGTCTCTAGAGGAAAATACATAGCTATAAGTGCCCACATGAGAAGAGTGGAGAGATCCAAATTTGATTGACACCCTATCATCAAATTTGAAAGAGCTAGAGGAGCAAGATCAAAAAAACTAAAAACCTAGCAGAAAATAAGAAATAACTAAGATCACAGCAGAACTGAAGGAGATAGAGACATGAAAAACCCTTCAAAAAATCAATAAATCCAAAAGCTGTTTTTCTTTTTTTTTTAATTTTTTATTGGATTATAGGTTTTGGGGTACATGAGCAGAGCATGCAAGACAGTTGCGTAGGTACACACATGGCAGTGTGCTTTGCTTTTCTTCTCCGCTTCACCCACATTTGGCATTTCTCCCCAGGCTATCCCTCCCCACCTCCCCCTCCCACTGGCCCTCCCCTTTTCCCCCCAATAGACCCCAGTGTTTAGTACTCCCCTTAAGCTGTTTTTCTTAAAAGATCTACAAAATAGACCACTAGCCAGACTGACAGAAAAGAGAATAACCAAATAGATGCAATAAAAAAAGATAAAGGGAAAATCACCAGATTCCACAGAAATAAACCATCATCAAAGAATATTACAAACAACTCTATGCACATAAACTAGTAAACCTGAAAGAAACGGATAAATTCCTGAAACAACTCTATGCACATAAACTAGTAAACCTGAAAGAAACGGATAAATTCCTGAACTCCTGTGTCCTTCCAAGCCTAAACCAGGAGAAAGCTGAAACTATGAATAGACCAATAACAAGGTCTGAAGTTGAGCCAGCAATTAAGTGCCTACCACACAAACCCAGGTCCAGATGGGTTCACAGCCAAATTCTACCAGACACACAAAGAGAAACTGTTACCATTCCTTCTGAAACTATTAAAAATAATTCAAAAACAGAGAATCCTTCCCAAATCATTTTATGAGACCAACATCATCCTGATACCAAAACCCAGCAGAGACTCAACAGGAAAAGCAAACTTCAGGCCAATAACCATGATAAACATAGATGCAAACATCTTCAATAAAATACTGGCAAGCCGATTGCAACAGCACATCAAAAAGCTTATCCACCATGATCAAGTAGGATTCATCCCGGGGATGCAAGGCTGGTTCAATATACACAAGTCTATAAACATAATTCACCACATAAACAGAACGAAAAACAAAAACCATATGATTATTTCAATTGATGCAGAGAAGGCATTCGACAAAACTCAACAGCCCTTTATGCTAAAATCTCTCAATAAACTTGGTATCAATGGAACGTATCTCAAAAATCATAAAAGCTTTTTTTACGACAAACCAACAGCCAATATCATACTGAATGGGCAAAACTAGAAGCATTCTCTTTGAAATCCAGCACTAGACAAGGATGCCCTCTCTCACCACTCCTATTAAATATAGTACTGGAAGTTCTAGCCAGAGCAATCAGGCAAAAAAAAAAAAATAAAGGGTATTCAAATAGGAAAGGAGGAAGCCAAACTGTCTCTATTTGTAGACGACATGACAGTATATCTAGAAGACCCCACTGTCTCAGCCCAAAAACTTCTGAAACTAATAAGCAACTTCAGCAAAGTCTCAGGATACAAAATCAATGTGCAAAATCACAAGCATTCCTATACACTAATAACAGACTAAAAGAGAGCCAAATCAAGAACAAATTGCCATTCACAATTGCTACAAAGAGATGAAAATACCTAGGAATACAACAAGAAACATAAAGGACCTCTTCAAGGAGAACTACAAACCACTGCTCAACAAAGTAAGAGAGGACACAGACGGAGAAACATTCCATGTTCATGCTTAGTAAGAATCAATATTTTGAAAGTGGCCATACTGCCCAAAGTAATTTACAGACTCAACGCTATCCCCATCAAGCTACCTATGACCTTCCTCACAGAACTGAAAAAAAACACCTTAAACTTCACATGGAACCAAAAGAGAGCCCGCATAGCCAAGTCAATTCTAAGCAAAAAGAACACAGCAGGTGGCAACACACTACCGAACTTCAACCATACTACAAGGCTACAGTAATCAAAACAGCATTGTGTACTGGTATCAAAACAGAGATATAGAACAATGGAACAGAACAGAGGCACTGGAGGCAACACAACATACCTACTACCATACAATCTTGGACAAACCTGAGAAAAACAAGCAATGGGGAAAGGATTCCCTGTTTAATAAATGCTGTTGAGAAAACTGGCTAGCCATGTGCAGAAAGCAGAAACTGGACCGCTTCCTGACATCTCACACTAAAATTAAGTCCAGATGGATTAAAGACTTAAACATAAGATCTGGCACCATTAAAAACCCTAGAAGAAAATCTAGGCAAAACCATTCAGGACATAGGAGTAGGCAAGGACTTCATGAACAAAACACCAAAAGCATTGGCAACAAAAGCCAAAATAGACAAATGGGACCTAATCAAACTCCACAGCTTCTGCACAGCAAAAAAGACAGTCACTAGAGTGAATCGGCAACCAACAGAATGGGAAAGAATTTTTGCAGTTTACCCATCTGACAAAGGGCTGATACTCAGAATCTACAAAGAACTCAAACAGATTTACAAGAAAAAAACAAAGAAGCCCATTCAAAAATGGGCAAGATATGAATAGACACTTTACAAAAGAAGACATATATGAGGCTAATAAACATGAAAAAATGCTCATAATCACTGGTCATTAGAGAACTGTAAATCAAAACCACATTGAGATACCATGTCATGCCAGTTAGAATGGCGATCATTAAAAAATCTGGAGACAACAGATGCTGGAGAGCATGTGGAGAAATAGGAACACTTTTAACTCTTGGTGGGAGTGTAAATTAGTTCAACCATTGTGGAAGACAGTGTGGTGATTCCTCAACGCCTTAGAAATAGAAATTCCATTTGACCCAGCAATCCCATTACTGGGTATATATCCAAAGGACTATAAATCATTCTACTCTAAGGACACATGCACACCAATGTTCACTGGAGCACTGTTTACAATAACAAAGACCTGGAACCAACCCAAATGCCCATCAATGATAGACTGGAGTGGGAAAATGTGGCACATATACACCATGGAATATTATGCAGCAATCAAAAACGATGAGTTTTTGATTCATGTCCTTTGTAGGGACATGGATGAATCTGGAGATCATTCTCAGCAAACTGACACAAGGACAGAAAATGAAATACCCCATGTTCTCACTCATAGGCGTTGATGAAAAATGAGAACACATGGACAAAGGAAAGGGAGCACTACACACTGGGGTCTATTGGGGCGAACAGAGGAAGGACAGCGGAAGAGGGGGAGCTGGGGAGAGATAGCATGTGGAGAAATGCCAGATGTGGGTGAAGGGGAGGAAGACAGCAAATCACACTGCCATGTGTGTACCTATGAAACTATCTTGTATGTCCTGCACATGTACCCCAAAACTTAAAACGCAATTTTAAAAAATACATATATATCTTGGGATTTTTCTATTTATTTTACCTGGTTTCTATGGTGTAGTAAGGTAAAGTACCTTGTGTTTTGACTGGTGAAGAAATTTCTACTCTACCGGGGTCATCACCAAGCATAGCTTTATTACTGTGAAAGCTAATTACAGCTCCCTATGACAGTTTCAAATACAGAAAAAAGTAAAAAGGGTAGACAATAGTGAAAATAATATGATTATAGGCATGAGAAGCTGCTAGGGGACATCATTTGATCTACACTGACTGAAGTCAGCAGGCGTAAGGTGAAAAAGTATATGAGATTCAATCCAGGATGACAGAATGTGTTCACCTTATAAGGGATTAGGAGATGCATAATACAGTGTATATGAGTACATCCCCCAGAGAGACACAAGGCAAGAACATGAATTGATTAATGGTATCATACTCATTTCACCTGAAATATTTACATAACAATTTTACTGAATTCTTACAACAAATGACTTAGGTTGACTATTTTATTGACCATTTGAGAGAACGGAAAATACTGAGGGAGAAAATTTCTTTCAGTTCAACTCAATCAGATTAAGGATAAAAAAGCAACTGGATACTGAAAATACAGCTGGGGACTTGACTTGCTGAAACACTTTGAAAAAGAATAGAGTAGAGACTAATCTGTTTACCCTGTTCTAAGACTCACTATTAAGCAACTGTAACTAAGATACTGTGATGCATCCAAAGGGGACTGACTCATAGTTCAACAAGGCAAAACAACAAATAACCCAGATATTGGCACATGTAAGTCCAGCCAATAGATTTTTCAATAAGAAGCTCAAGGCAGTTAAGTGCAGAATAGATAAATCTTCTATTGCTGATGCTGGGTCACGTGGACATCCTTTGAGAAAACAATCACCTTGGCATAAGTCTCACACACATTTTGTAAATAAAAGCTACCCTTCCCTGCTCCCCCTAAAAAGATGATTACAAATTATGTTGACCCATGCTACTGTTGTGTTTTCCAACCTCAATCCTTCACTCTTCTACTTTAAAAAGTTCAAATCATATGCATAGCCTCCAAATCCATTCATTGTTCTATTTTTAAGAAAGGAAATGAACTTAAAAAAAAATAGACAACAGGTAGAGTGATGAAATTTTTGTTTTACTCTGTTCTTATTGGTCTTTACAAGTAATTACACCATACACTATCTTCTTTTACAGTATGACCCAGGGGAGAAAAGAAAAGGAAGTAGAATGAAGGTACAAGTTTTGAAGCACCAAAATATTTTAAAGACACAGGGACCAAAAAAAAAAAAAAAAAAAAGAAAAAGGAGTACAGAAATAGAGGATCAGGGAGGGGCAGGGTGGTGGGTTGTGGAGTTGGGGGCAGGTAAGAAATAAAGGTATGCACTTTGGCCTTTCTCAAGATTCTTTGCCCTTATTCAGACTAGAATGAAACTGGCATAGGAAACCACTTTCGTATGCTAGCAGGAATGCTGCTGGCAAGACACTTCTGGCCATCAGTTCATGGACTTTAAGAACCAAGCTTTAAACAATCACTCTAGGAGTGAAGATATCAAAAATTGGCAGTGAAAAATTCTAGGTAGGAAATAAACTCCTTCTGAGGTATAGGCATGGAGGCAGTGGGATTTATGAAACAGACAAAAACAACCACAAACAACCTTTGGTGCTACTATCACAACTCTTGATGATGAGAGAAGGAGCATTGTAGCAAAGGCATTAATGAAGGACAAGAAGCTGAGGAGCCTGAATCCTTGTGTTATAAGCTATTCTGGTTTCCTTTCGAGAAGGGGATGTGGTCTGCGGAAGGTGTCAGGAACATATTTTCACAGTCTGCTTTCTCTTGTAAATGTTCTCTTCCTTGGCCCTCCTCAGATTTAATCAAGGAGCTCCGAGCCCGTTTTGACTGCAGCTCCTCTTGAACAAGATCCTCACCCTTCCTACTCTGATCCACCTTCTGTCGCCGTCGTCGCCTCTCCAGAGCCCGGCTCCTTGTCCGACTCCCTTGATGTTCAAGCTTTTCCAGCTGCATTCATACACACACACACACACACACACACACACACACACACAAGCAGAAAAAGATCAGGACTGGGATCCCTGCCTGCTGGACCTGATCTCCTGCCCTGCCCAGTACCCCCCTTCCTACCTCCAGAAGAGTGCGAATCCTCTCCAAGTCTGGAGGCTGTCCAGCCTGCAGCAGCTGCCAGATGCTGTGGTTCTCATCCAGGGTTACTTCGAGCAGGTCCCCTTCCATCATGAGTTCCTCCAGGGGCAGCCGGGTTGTCTCAGGCAGCTCCAACACAGGGCCAGTCAACTGCGGCAACAGTGAGGACAGTAGCTCCAGGTCTGGATGGAAGGTGGGGTGAGGGTGCAGGGACAGACTTGGTTAGAGGCCACTCTTGGTCTTATCCTTCATGGCCACAACAAAGCTGACAAACAACATGGGTCACTTGGTAATGTGTAGCCAACAGCCTACCCAAACCACACCTGTGTTATCAGAGCCCTTCGCTGGAGCTATGTTCTCAGGACTGGTCCCACCTTCTCCATTCTCCAGCAGCCCTTGGACCTATCAGGGAAATGAAGAATAATTGAGCTGATGAACCAAGTCCTATCTTTTCTTTCACAGCCCCCAAACTTGGGAGCCTCTATCTTCTGAAGGAGAGTCAACATAGGCTTCCAGCGGGGAGCAGGAAAGGATCCGGATGGGTGCAGAATGCGACAAAGAGGCTAGGCCACAGGAGACTGCAAATTGGAGACCAGACAAAGCTGGATCAAGCCAAAAGGACAGGGGCTAGAAGTCAGAAATGTGAGGACAGTGGGTGGCCTGGACAGCTCACCTGAGACATAGTGTTGCCACTGCCTTTTCTGATAGGGTCAAAGGCAATGGCTGAAGTGTAGGCGGGGACCTCCTCTGGCCTGGGTTTGGCCTCTAGCTGCTGGCGAAGCTCAGCCAGCTGTCGCAACAGAGCGGTCACATCCTCAGAGGCCAGAGCCTTTCTGGCACGGTCTTGCCAGCCAATGGCCCTCTCTGTGAGACACTGAAGAGCCTCACCCTCAGGCAGCCGGACAGGCAGTCTCTGCAGGGCAACCAGCAAGGATAGGATTGTCTCTAGGCGTGGCCGTCGTGAGCGCATACACAGTGGACACAGGAATTTTGTGTCCCATTCCCACCAGGCCAGCAGTGGAGATGAGGTGAGATTGGGCCTTGGAGAGCTGAGGAGACGGGGCACCGAGACACATTGCCCATGGAACCAGTCCTGACACAGGTCACACTGAAGAGCTCCCACCCCAGCTGGAACCTGCCCACACACACAGATAGAAGTTGCAGAGCAGGCCATGGGGTGTGGTGCCAGTGGACTGGGCTTGGCTGAGTTGATACGACGCAGCTGCAGGATACCCTTCTTCTCCTTCTGTTCCCCCTCCTTGAAGGCCACAATCTACCATGTCCAGAAGAGAAGGAATGTAGGTCAGCAGCCCACCCTTGCCGTTGTCTGGCACCCTAATGCCTGGCTCCTTAACTAGGAGAACAGAAATTTGTGGTGATAGGGCTCAGGCACCCTATCATCACCAGGCTCTCCTCACTTCAGAGAGATACCCAGAACCCACGTTTTCCCCATCTGGGCCATGCTCCTTACCACAGAACCTGGGTCTCTGAGGTCTTCTGCAGACAGCCCCAGCAGCTCTGTGTCACACTGGTACAAACTCAGCTCCTTCTCCATCCACCGGCTACGCTTGGTGCTTTCTGAGCCAGCATCTGCACATGGGCAGAGCACCTGAGGCAGGAAGGCAGACAGAGAGGAAATGACCAGGCTTCCCTCACCTCCCACACCTTCTCCTTCCTACCGAGGTGCCCCCTAAAAAAACAAAAAAAAACAAACAAAAAAAACCTATGTTCTCATCATACACGCCATCTCAGAGCAGCCAGTCCAGATGCAGAAGAGGATCCTAGACCTCACCTCCAGCAGCGTGTAGCAAGAATTCTTCTTGAGAAAGATCTTGGAGGCCTTCTCTCTCCAGGAATGTGCTGTCAATATCTGCAGCTCTAGTTGTCTCAGCTCTTCAAGCCCCACAGGCAGGTCCCGGCCCACAGCCACCAGGCCCTCCAAGTCATCCAGACAGGGGTAGTGGTCACCACTCTGGGATGGGAAAAACAGACAGTTGATTTAAAGTATGTCAATAATACTGTGTCTAAATCTGTGCTTCGTAATACTGGGTATTATACTGTATAATCACAGGAACAAAAATATGTAGATGTTTTCTTAAGGAAAAAATGGGATAGAAACCACTTTTCTCTCAGAACTCCTACTTTCATTGGCTCAGAACCAAAAATTCTACATAGGCAAGTTATTCTGTTGTGTCCTGCTTCCTCTATCCGCTTGTCTATATTGATAGTCTCTGCTTAACTATATGCCCATGTTCATGCTTCTCTTCCCTCAAGGGAAAACTAAGTCAGCTCCCTCAAGGAATCCTCTAACTTCCCACCTTCACCTTCTGGTGCAACCCAACAGAAAAAATATATATATAAGGTATATCTGTCTCTCTTCTAATTGCTGGCCTGAAGTGGTAGGCAGGAAATCTGATCCTCACTTGGATCTCATCCACATCAGCAATCCACGCTTGTGCCTTAGTCAGAGCCTCTTTGAGAGCCTGGATGTTAGGCAGGTGAACAGGGATGTTTTCTGTCTCACGAATTATGGCTTCCAGTGTGGCCGGTGGATGCTTTTGCCTAGAATTTTTTGGAAAAAGAGAAACCTATCATTACATATTACAGGTATACATGCTCGCCTTTTTAGTCCTATGTTTCCTTGCTAAAAACATAAGCAATGAAAAGTGTGACAGAGTAAATGAGCCACAAAGCGGAACTTTCTAGCATTGCAAGGGGCATACAGGTTTCTTGTAAGTCACATTCTGCATCCATTCACCTGAAAACTAAGTCTTCCAAGGAATATATCACCAATTGTTGCCTCTACAACACTGAAACATTAGCATGGCATGTCATATAGATGGGACTCAATGGCATGTCATGCCAATCCTTTGGAGTTTAGTAGATGCCCGACTGGAAGTCTGGTACCTAAGGGCACCCATAGAAATCGTAATACTTAGGGTCACCCCCAAACTTTGAGGATTATAGTCAAGACACAGACAGGGAGATGCTAGGACGCTAGGCCCCACCTGGCCTCCAGGCAGAAATGAGCTTTTTCTTCCCAGCACTCTGCAATGGTCAGCAATTCTTGAAGCTCAGCCCGGGCCTTGTCCACAGCAGGGCTGGAGGTTATCTTGGCACCAATAACCAAAAGCCCCTGCATGATGACCAGAGAGCCCCTGTGGGATGAAGGGGCCAGGGCCTGTTTCACTTCATCTAGCCATTGTGCCTGCTCCATCTGCTGCTGAAGCTCATGGGCTTCAGGCACCTCCACACCTAGCTGCTTGCCCCTCTCCAGCAGGGACTGCAATAGCCCTGGACTAGATGGCAGTGAGGCCAGAGCCTCACGAGCTTCAGCTTGGTAGGCCTCCACCTGTTCCAGGATATCCTGCAAGGACATAGAATAAAATGCAGATTCTTTAGCCACATAAATTCTCAACCACCAAGATTTGCTTCACTTCCCATCTTCTCTCACAGGCATTCACTGTTGCTTTACACTTATTCTCAACCATATACTAAAACATCATCTACTTGATACTAACAAAGGTCTTCTGTTGACCCAGAATGCCATTTTTTATCCTTTAATTACCTAAGGTATCTTTTTCCAGACCTAATTTAATACAACCTTATCCCTCTAATAAGCTTTCTAAGACTCTAGTGTCTAGAGGGAAAAAATAAAAATAAAAACACAAAAACATAAAAATAAACAAATAAACCTCTCCATCCCACTCCCAAGAGCTAGATCTTATATAGGCCCTTCTTTAAAGTTTTTAATTATTTGAGTCTTCAAGGATATTTCCTTATACCCTGTAAAGACAGAGTCAGTATGAGAACACTGAACTCCATCACTTCTAGGAAAGACCCTTTTATTGTAAGAAGGTTGTTTAGAATAATTAGGTTCTCGAGCTTTCCTAATGTGTCAGACTTCCTGAGTATTTGTTGTTAACAAAAATTTCATCTTGCTAGGCCCTCCTTACCTTGACATCCCCAATCTGATGCATGGCACAGGGCAGGCTGCCCATCTGCTCAAGAAGTACCCGGAGCTCAGTCAAGGTCAGATGTGGAGAGTCCATCCTGCAGGAATCAGGAAGAAAGAACTTGGTCAGTGAACCTCCTAAGGCCATATTTCAAACAATTTGTGAGTTTTAATGTCTTTTTTTCCCTTTTGTATTTCCGTAATATACACAAAGGTTTTTGCTAAGTGCAGAGATACTGACCAGTAAGTTAAGATTTGAGAAAAACACCTGTAGGTAGTTGACAGAAGCATTTAGTGGAAACTACAGATGTCAAAGTGACAGAGTCCAGTTCCTTGAGGAAAGGTAACCATATTAATCTGCTACCACTGTGGCTACTACTAACATAATACCAAATGGCTAGAAATATTTGAAAGAAGAAGAAGAATAAATATAAATAGGCAGCAAGAGAAATGTGAAATGGCCCAAAGATAGCTTAAGTTATATTTTCAACAGTCATCCAGTTAACACTTAAAGAATGAGGAAGAGACATAAAAACAAATAGCCAATAGGATTCAGGAATAGGAGATTTCACAGTGAGACAAAACACAATACATCTATTAAGGCAGAAACTGAAGTACAAGAATTTTTAAATACAATGCAATGGGAGGATTAAGAAGCAAGGAGGGTGCTGGGCTGGGCAACTCTAAAAAAAGGATAGCCTATCAGAGGCTTAAAAAGCCCCCATCTTCCTGGGACAGAGCACCTGGGAAAAGGGGCAGTTGTGAAGCTCCTCTTCAGCAGACTTAAATATCCCTGCCCAGCAGCCCTGAAGGAAGCAACAGTTCACCTAGCACAGAGCTTGAGCTCTATTAAGGGACAGGCTGCCTGCTCAAGTGGCTCCCTGACCACCCAGCCCTCCTAACCCCACCCTGTGTGTACCCTAACTGGGAGACATGTCATACAGGAGACCTCTGGCTAACATCTGACAGATACCCTTTTGGGATGAAGCTACCAGAGGAAGGAACAGGTGGTAATCTTTGCTGATCTGCAGCCCCTGAAGGTAGGTGACTACCAGGCAAGCAGGGTCTGGAGTGGACCTCCAGCAAACACCAGCAGACCTGCAGCAGGGTAGCCTGACTCTTAGAAGGAAAACTAACAAACAGAAAGAAATAGCCTCAACATCAATGGAAAGGAGGTCTATTCAGAAAACACATCTAAAAGTCACCAACTTCAAAGATGAAAGGTAGATAAATCCACAAAGATGGGAAGGAACCAGTGCAAAAAGACTGAGATTGCCAAAATCAAGAATGCCTCTTCTCTTCCAAGGCATGACAACCCACTACCAGGAAGGGAACAAAACTGGATGGAGAAGGGGTTTGATGAACTGACAGAAGCAGGCTTCAGGAGGTGGGTAATAACAAACTTCTCTGAGCTAAAGGAGCATGTTCTAACCCAATGTAAGGAAACTAAGAACTTTGAAAAAAGGTTAGATGAAATGCTAACTAGAATAGCCAGTGTAGAGAAGGACAGAAATGACTTGATGGAGCTGAAAAACACAGCAGAAGAACTTTGTGAAGCATACACAAGTTTCAATAGCCAAATTGACCAGGCAAAAGAAAAACTATCAGAGACTGAAGATCGACTCAATGAAATAAAGTGAGAAGGCAAGACTAGAGAAAAACAAGTGAAAAGAAATAAACAAAGCCTCCAAGAACTAAGGGATTATGTAAAAAGACCAAATCTACATTTGATCGGTGTACCTGAAAGTGATAAAGAGAGCGAAACAAAGTTGGGAAACATTCCTCAGGATGTTATCTTGGTGAACCTCCCCAACCTAGCAAGGCAGGCCAGCATTCAAATACAGGACATACAGAGAACACCACAAAGGTATTCCTCGAAAAGAGCAACTCCTAGGCACGTCATTGTCAGATTCACCAGGGTGGAAATAAAAAAAAAAATGCTCAGGGCAGCCAGAGAGAAAGGTCGGGTTACCCACAAAGGGAAGCCCATCATACTCAGATTGGATCTTTTGACAGAAACCCTACAAGCCACAAGAGAGTGGGGGCCAATATTCAACAACCTTAAAGAAAAGAATGTTCAACCTAAAATTTCATATCCAACCAAACTAAGCTTCATAAGCAAAGGAGAAAGAAAATCCTTTACAGACAAGCAACTGCTGAGAGATTCTGTCACCACCAGGCCTGCCCTATAAGAGCACCTGAACAGAGTACTAAACATGGAAAGGAACAACCAGTAGCAGCCACTGCAAAAACATATCAACTGTAAAGACTATCAACATTATGAAGAAACTGCATGAACTAGCAGACAAAAAACAACCAGCTAGCATCAAAATGACTGGATCAAATTCACACATGACAATATTAACCTTAAACATAAATGGCCTAAATGGCCCAATTAAAAACACAGTCTGGCAAATTAAGTAGAGAGTCAGACCCATCACTGTGCTGTATTTAGGAGACCCATCTCGCATGCAAAAACACACGCAGGCTCAAAATAAAGAGATGGAGGAAGATTTACCAAGGAAATGGAGATGGAAAAAAAAAGGGCAGGGCATTGCAATCCCAGTCTGTGATAAAACAGACTTTAAACCAACAAAGATCAAGAGAGACAAAGAAGGGCATAATGTAATGGTGAAGGGATTAATGCAATAGGAACAGCTAACTATCCTAACTATATATGCACCCAATACAGGAGCACCCAGATACACAAAGCAAGTTGTATTAATGACCTACAAAAAGACTCAGACTCCCACACAATAGTAGTGGTAGACTTTAACACCCCACTGTGAATACTAGACAGATCAATGAGACAAAAAATTAATAAGGATATTCAGGAGTTGAACTCATATCTGGACCAAGCAGACCTAATAGACATCTACAGAACTCTACACCCAAAAACCACAGAGTATACATTCTTCATAGCTCCACAACACTCTTATTCTAAGTCACCACATAATTAGAAATAAAACACTCCTCAGCAAATGTAAAAGAACAGAAATCATAACCAACAGTCTCTCAGACCACAGTGCTATCAAATTAGAACTCAGGATTAAGAAACTCATTCAAAAACCACACTACTACATGGAAATGGAACAACCTGCTCCTGAATGATTACTGGATAAATAATGAAATGAAGGCAGAAATAAAGTTTTTCAAGACCAATGAGAACAAAGGCACAATGTACAAGAATCTCTGGGAAACATTTAAAGCCGTGTCTAGAGGAAAATTTATAGCACTAAATGCCCACCAGAGAAGTAAGGAAAGATACAAAATCGACATCCCAATGTCACAATTAAAAGAACTAGAGGAGAAACATCAAACGAACTCAAAAGCTACCATAAGGCAAGAAATAACTAAGATTAAAGCAGAACTGAAAGAGATAGAGACACCAAAAATCCTTCAAAAAATCAATAAATCCAGGAGCTGGATTTTTGAATAGATCAATAAAATAGAACCCCAGCCAGACTAATAAAAAAGAAAAGAGAAAAGAATCAAATAGATGCAATAAAAAAATTACAAAGGAGATTACCTCCATCCCACAGAAACACAAACTACCATCAGAGATTATTACAAACACCTCTATGCAAATAAAACAGGAAATATAGAAGAAACAGATAAATTCCTTAACACCTACACCCTCCCAAGGCTAAACCAGGAAAAAGTTGAATTCCTGAATAGACTAATAACGTTATCTGAAATTGAGGCATCAATTAATAGTCTACCAACCAAAAAAAGTCCAGCACCAGGTAGGTTCACAGTCCAATTCTACCAGATGTACGAGGAACTGGCACCATTCCTTCCAAAACAACTTCAAACAACTCAAAACAGAGGGAATCCTTCCTACCATGGTTTATGAGACCAACATCATCCTGATACCAAAACCCAGCAGAGACACAATTAATAAACAAAATTTCATGCCAGGACCCATGATGAACATTGATGCAAAAGTCCTGAATAAAATACTGGCAAACCAAATGCACCAGCACATTGAAAAGCTTATCCTCACAATCAAGTTGGCTTCACCCCAGGGATGTAAGGCTGGTTCATCATCCACAAATCTAAAAATGTAATCCATCACATCAACAAAATCAGAGTCAAAAACCCCACATGATTATCTCAATAGACGTGGAGAAGTCCTTCAACAAAATTCAACAGCCTTTATCCTAAAAAGTCTCAATAAACTAGGTGTTGATGAAATGTATCTCAAAATAACAAAGGCTACTTAGAACAAACCCACAGCCACTATCATACTGAATGGGCAAAAACTGGAAGCATTCCCTTGGAAAACTGGTACACACAAGGATGCCCTCTCTCATCACTCCTATTCAATAAAGTACTAGAAGTTCTGGCTATAGGTATCAGGCAAGAGACAGAAATGGAGCCTATGTGAATCTGAAGAGAGGATGTCAAATGATCCCTGTTTGTAAATGACATGACTGTAGATATAGAAAATCCCATTGTCTAAGCTCCTAACCTCCTTGAGCTGAGAAGCTTACCTTCAGCAAAGTCTCTAGATACAAAATCAATGTGCAAAAACTACAAGCATTTCTATTCACCAATAACAGAGAGCCATATCATGAGTGAACTCCCATTCACAATTGCTACAAAGAGGAAAAAAATACCTAGAAATACAACTAACAAGAAATGTAAAGGACCTCTTCAAGGAAAAGTATAAACCAATGTTCAAGGAAATAAGAGATGATACAAACACATGGAGAAACATTCCATGCTCATGGTTAGGAGGAATCAAGTATCGTGAAAATGGTCATACTGCCCAAAGTAATTTATAAATTCAATGCTGTCCTCATCAAGCTACCAATGACTTTCTTCACAGAACTGGAAAAAAGCACCTTGAAATTCATATTGAACGACAAAAGAGCCTGCATATCCAAAACAATCCTGAGCAAAGGGGAAAAAAAAAAAAGCTGGAGGCAGCATACCACCTGACTTCAAACTATATCACAAGTCTACAGTAATCAAAACAGCATGACTCCACTACCAAAACAGGGATATGGACCAATGGAACAGAATAGAGGCCTCAGAGAGAATGCCATACAACTACAACCATCTGATCTGTGACAAACCTGACAAAAGCAAT